ATAGGATGTTAGTAGCAGATGGGCCTAATTGCAGAAGAAAGAGTGAAGGAAACCCAAAGGCCAGCACCACCCTGCCTTGGTGATCCAAGGGGTACAAATATGACCCTGAAGTGCACAGGCGTCCGCCCCAAACTAAAAACAAAATATAAAATAAGGATCAGCTGTGTAAACATCCATCGCCAAGTTTGTAATTAAGGATCCAAACGTCACTGATGGAAGATGACTGAGAGAACGGCAAATGTGTAATGATCTCATCCCAGATGACACAGTGAAATCCATAGACTTACATCTTAGACAATTGCTAGAAAGATGGGCGGGAGCTAGGAGGGATTGGGTTCATTCTGCACCAATGACGGAGGATCGGACGTGTCTGACGGAGGCCTGGATCGCCACTCATGTTTGGTCGAGCTGGCCACTGGGCTGACTCAAGCAACGATAAGGACCAGTACCTATAACCCCAGCTGCAGAACCTTTTTGGCGTGTGTGTATGTGTGTGTGTGTGTATAAATATATGCATATCTAAGCAGAGTCAGGATGAGCTCTACCCTGACATCTGGTGGTAAATTGTGGCGAGTTGTGCAAAAGAACTTCAGGGGCTGCTTTTGTTTGCAGAGGCACAGCCAACCACCTAGCATGAGCCCACGGCAGCCCAAAATGGCCAGTGGAACTGTTGTATGACAGAGGGACTCACCATCAACTAAGTAGCACTCGCTAGACAAGGGACATGGGGTCCAAAACCCAGTGAATTGAGAGAGGCTGGGGACAGGTATATGTACCTGGTGGTGTGGGCCACTTTTGTGGGCCTGAAACACCAATTGCACCTTCTCCTTTTCCTCTCTCCACTGTTGAATATCAGAGCTAATTTTGATTCTATTAGGAGTCTAATTATAGACTGCTGAGCTGAATTCACTTTGGGCTAATGGTGTGCCAGCACTGGGGTCCCCTTACTACAAGCTGAAATCACTAAGAGCTGAAATTACTATAAAGCCAAAAATCACTGAGTGCTGTGTTACCTGGGGGCGGGGCTGAAGATATATTGCTTAGCGGCTGGCAGAGTGGAGCAGTTTGTGGGATGGCTGGAGTGGCTCACGGGAGCAGAGCGGAGCGGCTGGTGGAGTGAAGCAGTTCGTGGGATGGCTGGAGCCGCTCATGGGCCAGCTGGTGGCATGGAGCGGCTCATGGTGAAGGCTGCAGCAGAACCCCATGGAGATGCAGGGCAGTTGGCCTTGGACCACCTAAGGTGCCCCTTAACACCTCCTGCCCCCATTTCCACACAGGGGGGTAAAAATGCTGCAGGTAAACTTTGGAACTCTGGGGCTGCATCAACCAGGGACAGAGACTTTTGGGGTGTTGGACTTTTGGGACTGTAGCAGGGTGCTGGTGCAGAGGCACCTAATTAGCCCCTGCTCAGCCAACCCCAATCAGAGGAAATAGATTGGGGCTGGGGAGAAGTCTGGTGCCTGGCCTTTAGAACTGGCTGCACCTGTGGGCCTGAGGGCTATAAAGGCTGGCTGGCAGCCAGAAGGAAGGGGGGAAGGTCAGTCTGTGGGCTGAGAGCAGGTTCTGGGTAGAAGTGGAGATTGTAAGGCCTGCAAACTGTATATAGTATATCACTGGGGGTGGGAGAAGTCTGTAAATAAAGCCACGGGTGCTGAAGAAGGAAAAGCCTCTCTGTGCTTTATTGGGGCAGCCAGTGGGCCCCAGGAAGAAGGCTGGGCAGAGGACGTGTTACAAGTGGGGGCTTGTCCGGGATCTAGTGCCAAAGACACAGTTTGGCGACCTGGCAATGGAGAGCACCCTGCAGTGGCTCACCGAGCAACAGGCAGAGCTGCAGAAAGCACTGCAGTCCTTCCAGCAGTCCCACCAGGTGGATAGGCAGGCTCTACTCGCTTGGCAGGCAGAGCAACAGAGGGCCCTACAGGACTTCATCAAGGAGCAGTCGACAGTGCAGCAGCAGCTCCTGCAAAAGCTGGTGAGTCCTGGTGGGGGAGATGGCACCTGGGCCTCAGCCTCTGTAAAATGGCCCCAGCAGATGACCCTGATGCCTTTTTGGGTACCTTTGAGCAGGTGGTCCTGGGTGCGGGATGGGACCGGACAACCTGGGCCCTGCGGCTGGCCCCCTATCTTACGGGGGAGGCACAGGCTGCATATATGGCCCTGACGGATGCCCAAGCCAGGGACTATGATGCCGGGAAGGCAGTGATTTTGTACCACCTCGGGCTTTCGGCTGAGAAATATCGGCAGAAGTTTTGGGCAGCCCGGTGGGCGGGGGGCGTGCGACCCCGGGCCTTTGCTCAAAAATTAACAGACTGGGCAACACGGTGGTTGAGACCCGATGCCCACATCGTGGGACAGATAATGGATCAAGTGATCCTTGAACAGTTTATCCAGTGCCTTCCCGATAGCGTGTGGGTTTGGGTGCGGCGACATCAGCCGGCCACCGTAGAAGACGCCGTGCAAAGAACGGAGGAGTGTGCAGACGCTGACTTCCCACCAAGGGAGCATCGAGCCCCACGGGACACAGAGGGGGGCAGGAAACCCCGTGAGCACGCTGGGGTGAAGCCGGTAGACAGGCGACGGGAGGAGCCCAAGGGGACCCCTAGCCGCCCGGGGCAGCTCGTATGCTGGCGGTGTGGACAGCTGGGACATAAAAGCTGGGATTGCCCGGTGATGGCGTGTGGGGCAGCTGAATTGTGTGGATGGATTAAAACTGGGGGGCGGAAAAAGAGGCGCGGATTGGCCACTATCCCGGTGCGGGTTGGGAAAAGGCCCCAGAGGGGTCTAGTGGATACAGCCTCCACTCGCTCCCTTATCCAGCGGCACTTAGTGAAGCCACATTGGCTCATCCCTGGGGAACACATGTTAGTAGAATGCGTCCATGGGGATAGGGAATATTGTCCCGTGATCCAGGTACCCCTTGAAGTGCAAGAGCGGTTTACCTGGAAGCGGGTGGGGGTAATAGAGAGGTTGGCCTACCCCGTGGTCCTTGGGCTGGACTGGCGCCCTCCCCAGAAGGGGAGAGAGACCACGGAGAAGAGACCGTCAAAGAAAGGGGGAAAGAGAACCCTGGAAAGAGAGGGCAAGACCCTGGTGGAGGTAGACCCGGGGCAAGGGGAGGCCCCACGACCTCCAGGGGGAAAAGCCGAGCAGCCTAGACAACCAAGCCAAAATAGGTGGCCTGAGGGAGTCACTGAGGAGCAAAGTGAGCTTCCCAGGCAGGACCACCCGGGGGAGGGACCCCCGGGGAGGGTGGAAGAAACCCAACAGGGGGAGGCCCAACATCAAAGGGACAGAGGGCCTGGACCCAGAGACAGGGGGCCAACTCGGGGCAGCGGGCTCTGAGCCATCACCCCCACTAGAAAAGGAAGGGGAACCTCCGGGGCAGCCGGCCCAACCATGTGACTGGTGTGAGGACCTCTGGGTGAGTGTGGACATGTGGGGTGCCCCACCTCCTACCCAATGCACCTTTTGTGGGTGGGGCGTGCCAAAGCCCCATGGGGTGGTGCCTGGGGATCCCTCAGCTGGGCAGGAGGCCCAACCCCAGAGTAAAATCCCCGGAGGTGGCTGCTCTGGGGAGCCCCACAGGCTGGCCAGCTGCTCAGAGGAGCCCTTCTTACCAGTTGCGGCGGGAGTCTGCTAGTGACTTTTTTTTTCTCTCCTCTCCTCTTCACAACTGGACCCCTTTTGAAGTGAAGGCTCCAGGGATGATCTGGGGTCAGCACCCACCAGAGACCCTTGCAGACTGAACAGTTTTCTCCATAGGGAGGAATTTTAAGAGCTGCCGTGTTAGCTGTGGTGGCTGAAGCACTTCTATGCGGCTCTCCCAGGCACAGGGAGAGTGTCTGGCCATGACAGGAATTGACTCCTGGCAGGAGAGGCACCGCTTGGAGCAGCCTCTAGCAGGGAGGAATGCAGAAGAACATTGTCTTTACTTTTTTTTTAACTGAAAAAAAATATGAGTCTACTAGCTGCCTGGGGAGGTGGGGGAATTCCCCCAGACAGGACAGAAACAACAAGGAGTCTGGTGGCACCTTAAAGACTAACAGACTCCTTGTTGTTTTTGTAGATACAGACTAACACGGCTACCCCCTGATACTTGACAGACAGGACAGGACACTGAATTTCTTTTCCTTTCTCTCTCTCTCTTCCTCCTGCCCCCAAAGGAATAAAATAAAATAAGGAAACACTTTTAAGGAGAACAGCAGTAACAAATCAAACACTACTTATGCAGAAGGAAGTGAGGGCGGTTCTTCTGTACAGTGCTAAATAGCCTCGAGGCAGACCACGAGGGAGGGAGGACACATGCGCTGGCTCAACGGACACTGTTACCAAAAATCTCCGATTAGAGGCGTAGGGGCACACATACATCTACAGTGGAGCACCCCAAGGACACTACTCGAAGAAGAAGAATTTGTTCCAGTATCTTTCTGGGTATTGAAATTAGGTTGGCTCGTCTCTAATTCCCTTGATCTTCCTTTTTTCAGATAGGCAAACATAGTGCCTTTCTCCAGTCCTCTGGGACCTAACCAGTCCTCCATACATTCTGGAAGATACTTGCTAATGGTTCCAAGATGGCTTCAGCTGGTTCCTATGGTGAAAATTCTTCAGGACCCACTGTGATGGGTTGGATCACAGAAACACCTTTGGGAACTGGCAACTGATGTGCCAAGAACACTTCTGCCTCTGCTTTCCCTGCCAGCCGGGGAATCCAGCACCCTGTCTTGTTGATTCAGACATGCCAGTCTGCTCCAACACAGACCCAAGGTCTGAACCACGTGCCCCAAAGCTGCAGACTTAGCTGAAAACAGCTCACAGAAGTGTTCCTGTCTTTAACACTCAGATGCCCAACTCCCAGTGGGGTTCAAACCCTAAAGAAATCTGTTTTACCCTGTATGAAGCTTATCCAGGGTAAACTCATAAATTGTTCGCTCTCTATAACACTGATAGAGAGATATGCACAGCTCTTCCCCGCCCCCCACAGGTATTAACACATACTCTGGTTAATTAATAAGTAAAAAGTGATTTTATTAAATACAGAAAGTAGGATATAAGTGGTTCCAAGTAATAGCAGACAGAACAAAGTGAATTACCAAGTAAAATAAAATAAAACAACTACAACTCTAAGCCTACTGCTGTAATAAAAC